AAAAAAGTGATACACATACACGCATACCTGTACATATACATTCCACCTGCTGCATAAAGCTACTCTTACTTAATAAGAGGAGCACAGCTGATAGATTTTTCTAAGCTTTGTTTTTCAGAGTAATGTACACATATGTAGAAACAGAATGTTTTATTTGATATTTGAGGGTATTTTTTCCCCCCAAGCCGTTTGTTGAGTGTATACTATTTGGCAGATAACTTTCAGGTATTTTTTTTTAATTGATGTCTTAATAGTTTATAACATTGTGAAATTTTGGTTGTACATTTTTGTTTGTCAGTCACCATATACATGTCTCTCTTCACCCTTTGTGCCCACCCTCCCCCCCACTTTGCCCCCTGGTAACCACAATACGGTTCTTTCTGACCATGTGTTGGTTTATATTCCACATATGAGTGAAATCATGCGGTGTTTGTCTTTCTCTTTCTGGCTTATTTCACTTAAAATAATACCTTCCAGGTCCATCCATGTTGTTGCAAATGGGACAATTTTGTCTTTTTTTATGGCTGGGTAGTATTCCATTGTGTATATATATACACCACATTTTCTTGATCCAGTCATCAGTCGAGGGACACTTGGGTTCCATTCTAACAGGCGTGAGGTGATATCTTAGTGTTGTTTTGATTTGCATTTCCCTGATGATTAGTGATGTTGAACACCTTTTCATATGCCTGTTGGACATCTGTATATCTTCTTTGGAGAAGCGTCTGTTCATTCCCTCTGCCCATTCTTTGATCGGGTTGTTTGTTTTTTTGTTGTTCAGTTGTGTGAGTTCTTTATATATTATGGAGAGTAACCCCTTGTCAGGTGTTTGTTTTGCAAATATTCTCTCCCAGCTGGTGAGTTGTCTATTCATGTTGATCCTGGTTTCATTTGTCTTGCAGAAGCTCTTTAATCTGATGAAGTCACACTTGTTTGTTTTTTCTTTAGTTTCCCTAGTCTGACTATGCATGGCGTCTGAAAAGATTCCTTTATGACCAATGTCAAATAGTGTGCTGCCTATATTTTCTTCTATGAGTTTTATAGTTTCAGGTCTCACCCTCAGGTCTTTGATCCATTTTGAGTTAATTTTTGTGAATGGCGATAGCAGATGGTGCACTTTTCATTCTTTTGCATGTGGCTGTCCAGTTTTCCCAACACCATTTATTGAAGAGACTTTCTTTTCTCCATTGTATGTTCTTAGCTCTTTTGTCAAAAATTAGCTGTCCGTAGATGTGTGGTTTTATTTCTAGGCTTTTCAATTCTGTTCCGTTGATCTGTGTGTCTGTTTTTGTACCAGTACCATGCTGTTTTGATTACTATTGCTTTGTAGTATGTTTTGAAGTCAAGGATTGTGATGCCTCCAGCTTTGTTCTTTTTTCTTAGGATTGCTTTAGCGATTCGGGGTCTTTTGTTGCCCCAAATGAATTTTAGTATTCTTTTTTCTATTTCCGTGAAGAATGTCATTGGGATTCTGATTGGAATTGCGTTGAATCTGTAGATTGCTTTAGGTAATATGGACATTTTAACTATGTTTATTCTTCCAATCTATGTGCATGGGATATCTTTCCATTTCTTTATGTCATTATTGATTTCTTTCAATGATGTCTGATAGTTTTCATTGTGTAGGTCTTTCACTTCCTTGGTGAGATTTATTCCTAGATATTTTATTCTTTTTGATGCAATTATAAACAGTATTATCATTTTGAGCTCTCTTTCTGTTAGTTCGTTATTGGCATACAGAAATGCAACTGATTTTTATAGGTTTTAGGTATTTTTTTAACCTCTCTCATTTAGTTTGAAGTAGCTGCTGTTCACCGGATTGCACAGATGAGAAAGCTCTGGCTCAGAGAAGTGAAGTGGGAAAGCTGGTACTTGAATCTAGGCCTATCTGACTCCAAAGCCTGTGTGCTGTACAGCCTTTGTGATTCACATAGGCATATTTTTTGAAACAGTTAAAGTTTATCCCCTAATGTAAGTGTGAGTGCCTTTAGAGTGAAAATATTATTGAAAGAGATTGTCTGTGTTTGAATCTTGGCTCTACTGTGTACTTTTGCTTTGTGATTTTAGTTAGGTTATATTGCCTCTTTGTGCTCTAGTTTCCTTATATGTTAAATGGAGACAGTAATTGAGATTGTTGTGAGGATTAAATGAATTAATGTATGAAAAGCTCCTAGAACAGAATGCCTGGTACAGAATCTGAGTTCCATATATGTTATTATTATTATTATTTTTTTATGTGAGGAAGATCAGCCCTGAGCTAACATCCATGCCAATCCTCCTCTTTTTGCTGAGGCAGACTGGCCCTGGGCTAACATCTGTGCCTATCTTCCTCCACTTTATATGGGACACCACCACAGCGTGGTCTGACAAACGGTGCATCAGTGCACGCCCGGGATCCAAACCCGGGCCACCAGCAGCGGAGTGCGTGTACTTAACCACTACGCCACTGGGCTGGTCCCCATGTATGTTAAATATTAATTAGGAGTGGAATATTTTCTCATTTTATAGATATAGGAAACTGAGACCCAAAGAATTTTCTCAGTCATCTAGCTTTTTAAGGTCACATAGCTGTTAAATGGCAAAGTTGAGTTGTTTTTATTTCAAGGCCTGAATTTTATCCACTAAGTTAACCATTTTTTAAAAAGAGAAATTCTTTAAGAATGTGTTGTAGTTTCTCCCTATCTGCTTAAGTATGCCAAATACAATTTATCTTTTTTTTTTTTTCAGTCAGAATGATACAGCAGGGAATAAGCATTGGACTGCAATTTAGGTTCTGGACCTGGCCTTGTCTCTGATTAGTTGTGTGATCTTAATATCTCTGATTGTAGTTCATTTATAAACTGAAGGGTGAATGGAGTTGGGCCAGATAATTTCTAAGTTCCTTTTACAGCACCAACAGAATATGATTCTGAGATACACTGCTTTTATCATGAATTATTGCATTATGCTATAATACCTTGAAGTTCCCAGAGCTTCTTGATGTATGCGTAGGTTGGTTACTCTCTATGCCAAATGACTCGAGTGCTATACTTTTATATCGGTGATCCACAATCTCCCCACTACATCAGCTTTTTCTTAACGTTCTTCCCACTTCTCTGCTTTCAGTCTACTTTTTTAATATGGTTGTTTTATTGGTTTTATCTTTTGGCAGAGAAGTTTGTGGATTTTGTTTTCAGTTCTTAACACATAGCAATCTATCTTGGCTGCTGGATTCACAGCTAAGTACTGTATGATTGAATCCCCTAGAATGGAGTAAGGTTGGGAATGGAAAATTCCCTAGACTCTAAAGTTGTGTAGTGCTATCTTTATACGGGAGGTATGATTTTAGTGACAAGAGGATCTTTGAGATGTCTCTTACCATGGGATCATGTGTTAGTTTGTTTCTTAACTTTATTGTATAAAAGGACTCCATGAATTGCAGCATGTGTGTGTTCTTTCCTTACCTTGATGTGATATTTGTAATAATCAAAATAAGTTCCATTTATTAGTTCAGTTACATAATCATTTTTATGATTGATTAAAATTGAGCTTCATTGGCTTATTTCAGGTGGATTTTGTAAATCAGAGTCAGGGAAGTTGGTTACAGGATATGAATAGTTTTGCATGTAGGTCACAGCTGAGTATCATTTGACTGGAATCATAGGTCTGCTTTTTCATTTGCAGTATTGGGGAGAGTTAAATATCACACCTGTAACTTTCTTTGTCCCAAAAGTTCAAAAAAAGATTTTCTTTCTTTAGGATAGCAACTGATAGTATTAGGAAACTGTTATAGACAGTAGTCTTATAAGGAGATTTCCTTATTTAAAGGAAATTTAATTTAAAGGAAGCTGTTTCTTTGTGAGTTTATATACTCAGTGGTATAAACTCAGTGGTATGTAAATTATTCCTGATCCACATAGTTAAAGCATGTGTTCTATTTTATTTATTTTTTTTGAGGAAGATTAGCCCTGAGCTAACATCTGTTGCCAATCCTCCTCTCTCTTGCTGAGGAGGATTGGTCCTGGGCTAACATCTGTGCCTATCTTGCTCTGCTTTATATGGGACGCCGCCACAGCGTGGCTTGACAGTCAGTACTTCTGTCCGCGCTCGGGATCCGAACCCACAAATCCCGGGCCGCCAAAGCGGAGTGTAGGATCTTAACCGCCATGCCACCGGGCTGGGCCTGCTTATGTTCTATTTTGATGGTCACTCTCTAGTTGGTTTTTTTGTTTTGTTTTGTTTTTTGACAGCTGGACTTAGAATATATAAGGATTTCATCAATGCTCAGAAGAGTTTACTTTTACCTATCTGGAATAAAATCTCATAAAGGTGGAACAAAGGTGTAATAAAATAGTGATTGGGCCTCTGGGCAGAAATATACAGTGGGATTCTGGCGAGAGTCATCCATGGGTAATGAAGTCAGGATCTAGTAAATATTCAGGAGTCTGACATAACAACAGTACCTATAGGTTGAGGGGGATGTAGGGTCTCTTGGGAGTTAGGAGAACAGAGCCAAAAAAGCATTCTGAATTTTAGGCCTAAAAATGATTAAAGAAGAAACGTTGTCTGATGGCAGTATCAAATGGAAAAGCCTCATGGTTACAATCAGCTGTGGTGCTATATTTTCATGTGTCTTATCTACTTTTCGAATAGGTCTGACTAATGTCAATTTCCAAAGGAATATTTCACGGTTAATTGCAACATTGTTGCCACAATGGTAGTATTATTTTTTCAGGTGGTATTTTTATTGAATCTGTGTCTGTTAATATATTTATCTCACTGAGTGCAAGTCAGTCGGCTGCTGCATTGTGTCTACCAGGAAGGTTACTTTTCTCGCCATATCACATAGGCTCTTGGGCCCAGGCCTTCAAAGGTTACAGTAGTTTTTTGTTTGAAATGAGGTAATTTTCCTCTATAGAGATTGTTTCTTTTTATTCAATAACATATTTAGGGGTTCCACAGTCAGATATGAAGCTAATCATAAGTAAGAATTTTTGAAAAGTTATTTTTCTTTTTCTCTTGCCAGGTGTATTCTGGAGAACAGGTCTTCAAACATCCTTACGGTATTTACTCTGAGCTGTCAGGGGACTCAGGCTTATGAGGAGGTACTGCCACACAAAACAGTGTCTAGTGAAGACAACAAGAAAGAGGGGAAAGGATCGGAAAAAGAAACTAAAACACCATAGAAAACCATGGTAGGTTATTATTTACGTTTCCTTAATTTAGTTAAAAAGATTCCAATAGTTTAAAATTGGAAGTATTAACAATGAGGGCAGGTGAAAAACAATGGTGTTGATTTTTGGTTCTAGCGTATCCGATGAAGATGGCACTCTGCTATTGAAGCAAAGCAAATGAGTTCAGATTTATTACGAGCCCTTTAAACCACAAGATGGAGCCCCATGAGCCTGCAGGCCATAAATTATTAAATACAAAGGAGAGAATACTCATAAATAATATTTTCTAATAAAACTGGCGTTAGCAAACTGATACAGATGGCTAAGGTGAACTTGATCTTGGAATTATGTGATTTTTCTGTACTACCCGAATTTCAGTTTTTTCCTATGGAAATTAAAAGTCCTGAACCAATCTGTTAATTAGTGATATGAATGGTGTAGGAGTTTATAAAATGTGTGCATATTTAACTCAAAAGGCCAGCTTTTTTCCACATGCTTTTAAAATAATAGGGTCAAGTGTTGGGTATATTGGGGTCATGGAACTGAATATCAAGGAAACCTTGCTTTTTGTGGAAAGTTCATACTTAAATTGAATTTGAAATATTAGATGAGGTCATAACCTCTGGTGCTTAGTTTTTTAATTGGTAAAATGTGCTGAACTTTTTCCCCCTATTGGTTCTGGAGGATGTTGTGTGAATTTTTTTCTTAAGTATAAGTGAGAAAAAGCTTAAAAAAGATGTTATAAGTGGGAGAAAAAGCACAAAAATATTAATCATCAGTATGTTTAAAATATGTTGTTTAGCAAGTTTGATGATGTTTCTTTAAGTGTTCGATTTCTAAAAAATTTGTTCTGGGGATTATAACTTAGTTGACTTGCTCTTTAGAGAAGAAATTCTAATATTTTAGTTCTGGATGGTGGGGAAAAAATGTTAACTTGGGATTTTCTCTGTTATTTAGTTTTATGGTGAGATGTAAAAAACGACAATGTGACTTGTGTTTCCTCCCATATGAATTATTTGCCTCTTCAACTCCTTTATGTATTATAGTCTTGATGTTCTTACAACTTAAAGAAATGCTTCATATATATTAATTTGTCATACTTGATGAAAATTCCTTTCCTATTTTATTCATTTTAAATTTAGCTTCGATTTTCTAGTGTAGAAATTTTTTTATGTAGTTTAATTGGTTGGTAGGTGTTTTCCAATTTCTTCTATTGCTTTGCTTCTTAGATCTCGGGGATTTTTTTGACTTTGCTTATTTATTTATTTATTTATTTATTTATTTTGATCGAAGTCACATTGGTTTATAACATTATAGAAATTTCAGGTGTACATCATATTTTGATTTCTGTGTAGACTGTTGTGTTCAACACCAAAAGTCTAGTTGCCATCCATCACCATACGCATGTGCCACTCTACCCCTTTTGCTCTCCCTTAGATCTCAAATTTGAATGAGAACTTTCTGTTTCTGCATAGTTCTTCCAATTTAATTTTTTAATACAGTTATATGTTACTTAACAGGGATATGTTCTGAGAAATGTGTTATAAGGCTATTTTGTTGTGCAGACATCATAGAGTGTACTTAAACAAACCTAGATGGTATAGGCTACTATACACCTAGGCTATATGGTACTAATCATATGGGACCACAGTCGTATATGTGGTCCAGTCATTGACTGAAATGTCATTTGTTATGTGGCACATGACTGAGTACAGTCATGTGTTTCTTAACGACACGGATACTTTCTGAGATGTGCATCGTTAGGTAATTTTGTTGTTGTGTCTGCATCATAGAGTGTACTTATACAAACCTAGATGATATAGCCTACTACACACCTAGATGATATAGCCTACTACACGCCTAGGCTTATGGGACCACTGTTATGTGGTCCCTCGTTAACTGAAACATCATTATTCGGTGCATGACACTTAGTCACTCACCATAAAACTAAATGACAAAGAAAATCCCTATTTAACCTTTTTTCTGCTTCCTTTTATAGGGGACAATGATACTGTAGTATTAATTTACTAAAATCCAAATTAATATGGTTTTTAAACATTCATTTTCGAACAAAAGAGACAAGACTGGTAAAAGAATTGCACGTATTTTATTTTGTGATAAAGACTTTAAAACAAAATACCATCTACTAGCACATAATTTCATGTAAGTAAAGAGACTGTAGCCACCCTTTAAATGGAATACTTTATTTGTACTTTATGGTAACTCACCAAGTTGTCCTTGTTCATTTTGTTGTGTACTGGTACAAGTGTCTTCATGGTATTTGTAAATTTGGAAATATTCAAAGGTTTTTAGATGTGTGACTCATAAGTGTGAAGGATCTACTCTATTAAATTTTCATGAAATTCATTCTATTTCTAGGCTCTAATCTGCTCTACTGATTTCTGGGCCAGCATGTCATTTTAATTATTGCTTTTTAAATTTTTGATATTTTGTTTTAGTATAATGGTACCACCCATCCCTCTTAGTAGAATATTTCTTGATACTCACTGATTTTTTTTTTCCCCAAGTGAGCTTTAAAATTATTTTTGTTTAGTTTTTTGTTGAGTATTAAGTAAATCTGTCCTGAGGAGATTTTGATTGAGAACGTAATACATTTGTAAATTAGTTTGGGAAGTTGATTCTTTTGCAATGTGTATTTTCCGCATTCTGGAATCTGGAATGTCTCCTACTAATCTATTTTAAAAACTAAAGCCTTACACCAAAAGTTTGATGCCAAATAGTAAACAATATTCTAATGTGATCCATAGTTTTTCTATAGTGTTCACACATAACTTTGTATTTTGTATTATTACTGTATTATGAAATCTCAATTTTTCAAGGTGTAAAAGTCTCTAGCAGTTTGGAAAGTAGTGACTGGGTATCATGAGTCACCATCATGCGTTTCTAGATACTGCCTCGAAGCTGGGAAGTATTTGTTTTTCACAGATGATGGGTGATATGGGTGACCTTTTTTGAAGTGGTGTTCAAAACACACAGATTCAGCTAAAAGGTAGCATATACGTAATATGGAGTGTGACCTGGGTGACCCTTACCAAAACATGAATGAAAAATCTCTAATTTTCTGGTGTAGAGTTCAATAGAATGGAGTTTTACTTCCTATTCCTGAGCAGTTTTTTATTTTCTCAACCTTAACTATTTCACAATGGTTTAACAATTAATGCTGTGACCTGACATAAATATATTTGTATGTCATCCTTTTCAGGTAACATTTCTTTTATTGAAGTAATTATTTTCTTTCTCCTTCTGACAGAGATCTATTAGATCTTTTGCCAATGATGATCGCCATGTTATGGTGAAACATTCAACAATCTATCCATCTCCGGAGGAACTTGAAGCTGTTCAGAATATGGTGTCTACTGTTGAATGTGCTCTTAAACATGTCTCAGATTGGCTGGATGAAACAAATAAAGGCACAAAAACAGAGGGCGAGACAGAAGTGAAGGATGAGGCCGTAGACACTTATTCCAAGTGAGTATGGCCTGACCTTTGTGGCACTTTACTGTAGTGCTCAGAAAAGCCCAGGGTCCCATCCCACTGGATTTTGTTTGGAGTATGATGTTCTGTGGGTTTTCTCATTTATATGACTGTAAACAAGGAAGTAAATGTTTGTGGAATTTTTCTGAGTTAATTTTGAAAGGAAAGCAAAAGGGAATAATGATTAGACTAGAAAAAGAAGATGGACCTGTTCAGGATATCTTTTGAGAGTGCACCAAGTCCTTTAAAATATTCTCTTTTGGAGGTTATGATACATCATCTTTTTTATTTGTTGGTTCAACCTCCTAAATTTGGAAATAAATAGTAGTGTTTTTGGTCTCTGGGGAAATCATAAAATGTCATTTTTGTCAGGTATTTTAAAATCCTGATGTAGAAGAAAGAGTGCAGGAAAATGTATTCTAAAGGTATTTTTTACTGTATCTACTTTATTGATTCCCAGGATCCAGCAGTGTCTTGCATGTAATAAATGCTCATTGGATATTTGTGGAGTGAATGAAGGCCTAATGGGAGCCAGACTCTTCAACAGTTATAGCAGAGTATTCTCAGTGCTACAACAGTAGTAAGAGATTAGTGAGATGAAGCTGAATGATAACCGGAGTCAGATCTTGAAACTTTTTATGCCATGCTAAGCTTAGAGTTACTGTTTTGAGCAATGTCACTATGATTGGAATAAGTATATGATTTACTTTGAAAGACGAAGCTCATTTGACTGTACTGTATTAGTAGAATTAAGGACGTTACTTTGGCTACAACTTGTAAATTGGGAATAGAGGTTACAGAATTTTTTCTGCAGCTGTCAATTCTAAATCAACGTGATAAGTAGATAAAGAATAGTAGGAAAGTATTGCTAAATTGATTTTCTTCACCGAAAGATAGCATAACATTTTCATCTGCAGATGAAAGATAATCAGTATTAGTTTTCAGCTGAAGGACATAATTCCTTGACTTTGTTAACTATTTACAGGTAATATATACATTGTATTGTAGATTTGTCAGCTTGAAGGTTCTTGGCGGTAATTGAGTTTTTCTCACATAAGATAGCTTGGAAAAGATACTGTCAAATTTGGGGGTTCATGTTAATTAGTAATATTATCCAGTAATCTAGCTCTATATATCCCACTCCCAGTGCAAGTTAAATAGTCATGCACTCCATGTTTGTTTTTATTTTATTTGTGTTCATACCCCTTTTAAAACTTTTTTTTATTGTGGTAAAATATATTTAACATGAAATTTGCCATTTTAACCATTTTTAAGTGGGGTTCAGACCTTTTTAATACATCTTCTGTTGTTTGTTCTCAAGGCTGGCAGACTTGTGGAAAGTACTCCTGCAGACTTTTGCTTAACTGGCTCAGGTCACTGTGCTTTAAAGGTTTTTGAAAGATAATGTGCTCCACACTTTCATTTGGATTTTTAAATATAGCTCTATGTGTGGATGCTCTTCGTTGTCTCCGTAGTCTTTCCATTTTGTGGTACAGTCCCAGCTTAAGCACTTGTCTGATTCTTCCCCTGTAGTGGAACTCAAGGAGTACAGAATGATTGCGTCTTTATTTTATAAACCCGAGGCAGACACAGCTTCCAAGAACAGAGCTGTGTTCTGGTAAGAGACATATATTGTGCTCTTGATGTATGTGCTAAGTCCTACAAAGGGCACAAAGACAGGTGAGGGCTAGCTTATATTTATTAAGTACCTTCTAATGCCAGGCACTATCAGGTAGCTTTTACCTGTGCGTTTATTTATCTTTTTACCAACTGGCTCAAAAGTCAAATAAATTGCACAAGGTTCCACTGGTTGTATTATTAGGAGTATTAGGACTCTGTTCTTAATTTTAAGTAATTCCCTATATTTGGGTCGCTTGCTTTGTAATACCTCCTATATTCAAATTCATTATTCCACTTCAGGACTGAATTAGGACTTAGTTTCTCTACTTAGTTGTGCTGTCTTCTACATGATAAAACCAAGTTCTACAGGATAAAACCATATCTTAATTATGATATAGAATTTAGTAAATGAGCTAATAATACAAGCTAGTTAATAATAGCTACCGTATATTGAGTGCCCATTACTGTACCAGATTATTTTTCAGATTACCTTACAACAAACCTACTAGTCTCTCCTACTGTCCTCCTAGCCAACTCCACCTCCATTTTACTTATGAAATTTCTGTTGCTTCAGATTTGCCTATGAAAATAGAGTGACTCAGAATCATTAACAAACTTTAATTCGCTGAAGGTCACTGAATGAGCGTGTGTGGTGGAGCCAGGATTCATATTCAAGTCTGTTGGACTCCAGATCCAATTTTCTTAGTGTCTTTGCTTCAATTTTCCATGACTAAAATGTGAAAGTATAGAGCAGGGAGGGATTATATGCTGGTTCTGGGGATCAGAAAAAACTTCATGAAGGAGGTAGCATTTGCAGTAGGCTCAGAGGATGGGTAGGGTTTTGGCAGGCAGTGAAAGTGGAAAAAAAAAATCACAGCAAAGATCTAGGTGTGAGAACATATAGGGACTGCTTAAGGAATAATAGCTGTCATTTATTGAGCTGTTAATATATCCCAGACTCTGGGCTCAGTTCATAACTTACATTAAATTAAATGATATTCTCAGTACCATTCTGTGAGGAAGGTATTATTCCTTTTTTACAAGTGAGAAAGTAGGCTCGAACGAGTCAAGTACTTTGTAATTTGTCCAGAGTCACACAGCAAGTGGCAGAGTGAGGATTCGAACCAGGAAGTCATGCTGTCTCCTAAATTGCCTCCCACTATGCTAAGTGTCTAAGTGTTCAGTGGGACACCAGGAAAGTAATACACAGAGTGCCATCCATGTGGTGCTTTTGGAAGATTATTCTGGTTGCAGTATATTGTATACAGTAGATGGGAGATGGCAGAGGTTAGTCAGTAATGCCAATGAAGAGGAGATTATTGAATGAAGAGGAGATGAGAGGTAATAAGAGCCTGAAAAGAAACTAGTTTGAAGGCAGTGGTTTGAGAGTGATTATGGAGAAGGAATTCATAAACTACTGTTAGATTTGGGCGAATGAGAAGATGAGAGGACAGAGATACAGAAGAAGAAAGAATCAAAGATGAACTGACTCGGTTCTTAATATTAAATAATTCCCTACACTTGGGTCGTTTGCTTTAAAATCCTTTTTATTTCTTTCTATATTTGTACCACCCTTATAGTTTTTCATTGATTTAATGTTTATTGAATCTCCAAGGTGTGCCAAGCACTGAACCAGTGGCTGGATTATTTATAACTTTTTGTCTTGTTTCCCCTGCCACCATTTGTTTCTTTCCTTTCTCTTTTCTCTAGTTGTTCATTCTCCACTCTGCTGACTTTTGCCCAACTTTGCTGATTCTTTGCCTCTGCCTAGAATGACCTCTTTTCTGTCTAACCAAATCAAGACTGCTGAAGTCAGACTTTCAGGTTGCCTTGCTTGACCTCTCTGACTTTTTTTTTTTTTTTTTTTTTGGTGAGGAAGATCAGCCCTGAGCTGACATCCATGCTAATCCTCCTCTTTTTGCTGAGGAAGACCGGCTCTGAGCTAACATCTATTGCCAATCCTCCTACTTTTTTTTCCCCAAAGCCCCAGTAGATAGTTGTACGTCATAGTTGCACGTCCTTCTAGTTGCTGTATGTGGGACATGGCCTCAGCATGGCCAGAGAAGCGGTGCCTCGGTGCGCGCCCGGGGTCCGGACCCGGGCTGCCAGTGGCGGAGCACGTGCACTTAACCGCTAAGCCACGGGGCCAGCCCTGACCTCTCTGATTTTGACCTCTCCTTCTTCTGAACTTGGGAAGCAACCATAATGATGTAAAGACCTGAATGTTAAGGGTCAAACCAACTTGAGTCTGAATCCAGGCTTTGCCATTTTACTCTCTCTGTGAACTCGAACAATTAATTAGCTTTTGTGAGATTTACATTCTTTGTCTTTCAAATGTAGGCTTGTTGTGAGGTTTAAATGAGAATTTGTGGTTTGCAGTTTGTTCTCAGATGTTCCTTTCTCTTCCCCTTTTAAGCAGGTTACTGCTTTACTACAGTGTGAGTCTCAGGAGCAGGAGGGATTAGGTTTCCTTTAGTATGTTTTTCATACTCAAACACTTGCTTACTTGTTTAATGACTGCTAAGCTTAGTTACATTTTTCACTTGTGGTTAAGGGAAATGAACCAATAAGAAACTTACAGTGTTAAAAACAAGGATAGACGTTAACACTGTTCTTATGCACCGTTCATGATTTGATGTTCTTTGTTTGTTCTTTCAGCTGCTACTGGGTTTGGAATGCATATACTAGCAGATTATCTTGGTCACTTCCTTCTTTCCTTAGCTCTTTACTTTTATCACATTATTCTGCTTTCTCCATAAACTTTTGTAGATTCCTAGAATGGTACAGCTAGAAGGGATGAGCTAAGGCTCATCTAGCCGATAGCTGTTTTACAGTTATGGATACTGAGCCAGCAGGCACCACTAGGTGTGGAGTCCAGGTCTTTTATATTTCTCCCCTGGTGCTCTTTCTCAGTATACGTGGTATATGTTTCTCACAAATTCTTTAATGACTAAGAAGAAGGTAATAGGAGGAAGTTGTAAAAAATTTGAAAAAATGTTTGAGGATACAATATTTTTGGATTTTCCTAAGCAATAAAGACGTATAATAAAGAATTAAAAGATCTATAGTCTGAAATATGCTCTCTATTGATTCCTTGGGGAAGGTACTTTATGAGCCTTAAATTTGAGACTTAATTTTGGATATCTGGATTTGCATACTCCCTTATCAATTCATATGGATATCCAGGAAGCCAAGTGATGATCAAGTTATAGTTTGGGAAATAGGTTGTAAAAGTAATCATTCAGACTTTTATTTTTAGGGATCAAGGTGGTCGGACATTGTGTGGTGTAATGAGGATTGGCCTGGTTGCAAAAGGCTTGCTGATTAAAGATGATATGGACTTGGAGCTGGTTTTAATGTGCAAAGACAAACCCACAGAGACCCTGTTAAATACAGTCAAAGATAATCTTCCTATTCAGATTCAGGTGAGTACAGTTTAATTACACCTCTAGGAGAATTTGTGAAAATAGATAGTGATCTCGATGAATTCAATAGCAAGAAATTGGTAATAGTAAAGGGTAGGTACAGAAGGAATACCACTTCTCTGCATCAGTGACTCATCCATTACATGTAAACTTCTGGTGATTAATACTCAGGATATATTTACCAAATTAAGATGGCTATTAAGGTACAGTCTTAAATTTTTCAGGTGTATCTTGCTGCGAGTCTTCATGTTTTCTAGACTAGGTCTTTCAGCATTATAAAACTCTTGGAAGGGATGGTGTAATGCAGAAAACAACTGAAAGATCAAAGAGCCTAGACAACTGGAGACTTTCATAGATGATAACTTTTATTTTTTTATTTATTTTTTTTTAAAGATTTTATTTATTCATTTTTTCCCCCCAAAGCCCCAGTAGATAGTTGTATGTCATAGGTTCACATCCTTCTAGTTGCTGTACGTGGGACTCGGCCTCGGGTTGGACGGAGAAGTGGTGCCTGGGGGCGTGCCCGGGATCCGAACCCGGGCCGCCAGCATCAGAGCGCGCGCACTTAACCGCCAAGCCACGGAGCCGGCCCAATGATAACTTTTAAAATTGAAGACTCAGTTAATTTAATAGTCACCCATTCATTCTGTTAATGGAAAGTCACTATTAATTCCTTATTTCCAAACCTTTTTCACATTGGGATGCCTTTAGAAAATTTTAATGTTAGCATGCTTCCTGGAGGATGCTGCTAAAAGATCCTCCGGGCTGAAGGCAACTGGTTAGTCTGGGGTTGTGGTCACCCTAGGACCTGCTCTGCCAGCCTGCTCCGAGGGCCAGTTGCATCACTAATGGGGAAGCTATGATCATCTTTCAGTTTCAGATGTGTTATCTGTGGTATAATTAGTTTATAGCTTTTTGATGATTTCAAATTAGTTAGTCCTTATATCCACGTCACATAGTTATCAACCGACAAGGTCCAAACTTTGAGTTGTTGAATGCTCTCTTTTCTTTTATTGGTTTCTTTTATTTGTATTTCCTCTAAAAAGGCTCCCCCTCCCAAGTAATATGAATTGTAAATTTGTTTTTATTAGCTTTGTTACTGGATCATTTTCTTTCCTATTCATCAGCTGATCTTCCAAACCATCTTCCTGATTTTTTCATTTACTATACTTGACACTCAAATTTGTGTTACTTGTTGACACATTCCCCTATATTAATTTTTGGAGCACTATTTTATTTTATCCTCTGCCTTAAATCTTAACATACGGTTTTCTAAGTGAGTGAACAAACATATTTGGCTTTTCCATTTTCAATTGAACGTTAATAAAATTCCTCTTGTTTCCATTATTTTTTATATTGTTTTAAAATCTAATGTGTATTTCTGCTTTTATTATAGTTGAACATTTTCACTCTTAAATCTATAATAAAATAATAATCAAAGGGTTGGACATATTAGAGGCTTTTTCAACCATCTTATACCCCTTTCTGTTCCTTTTAGTGAGTCCTGTTTCTTATGAGAGTGGTCATATTCCTCAGGTGTGTCAGGGTGGAAAAAGGGTTGAGAACCAGTGCTATAATAAATCGAAGTTCTTATTCTGAGAATCGATCACATTTCTCCAGTATTGAAGATACAGGAGATTGGGCCAAGCTTCAGTCTTAGAGCTGCTTCTGTGTGGATCACAACTGTGTGAACTGCATTTTTTTCTCTCTTGAGTGAGGGTCTTTATTTCTGGGCATCACAGTTTTAAAATGTTCTTGTCGAGCTAGGAAGTATTCAAGGGAGGGACCCAGGGGAGAGTTCAGGCTGTGTAAACCATTTCAAATTTGAAGAGACTGTGGCTTTTTAGGCTAGAGAAGACTGAAAAAGACACAAGTATCTTTAGGTCTTTGTAGGGCTTCTTGGAGAAGATAAAAGAGGCCTGAACTCTAAGACCAATGGTGGACATTATGAGAAACATATTTCAATTTAGTATAGCCAATAGAGTTATCCAGCAGTGAGACCAACTATAGGTATTTGGGTAAGACCCAAATACTATAGGTATTTGGGTAAAGGTACTCAAATAAAATGGGGATGTAATTGTACACCCATCTCAAATTAAATTGTATACATGTACACACACATATATGAGCATATATACAGACAAGCACACATACATTATTATTATTATTACTAATAATATTTCAGAAAATCATTTTAAGTGTGATTTCTACCTTTACTTTCTGCCTCCCGCTTGTTTACTTGGTGTTTGTGTGGAAGACCAATCTCTAATATGATATGATCTTATTTTCTTATGAATTAAAAATCTTTTTCCTGAGCACTTACCACAGCAAATCTTTCAATTATCTAAGTACCTTAATTAGTTGAGGTTGTACCATACCTGTTCTCTATGTACTCTTTTCTAGGGTGATTTTCGAACTTCCTTGAGCAAGGGAGGAGAAGGATGACTAAAATGAGAAATCACTTATAATTAGTCTAGCCCCAAACTCATGCCATATGTTTATTACTTTGGATGTGTTTTATGGTGATCTGCATGCGTAATTGAAAAATTTACTTTGACTCATTGTGTGATGGACATCTTTAATGCTCTTATAGTGGCAAAATGAATGTGAGCAGTTTTCTGCTTTTTCTCTATATTCTGGTTCTGGTTTTTCCAGTCACTGTGTGACCTTTCCCTTCCTTGGATTCTTCTATTCAAAATTAGGATAATGAGTTTTCTGTTTTCTATCTTTTTTGGAATGTTTAATGATAAAATGCTATTTTTATGTAAATGGCTTTGAGCTCTTTTAATGCACGTTGTTGAGTAGAGACCCAGTAGTATTTCCATTCAGCTATTTATGTTAGGTAATAGACACAAAATTGCATCACCAAGAAAGGCCCTGTGTAACTTATTAAACTATATATTTAAGGTATAATAATATATTAAATATAACTTAATATATGATTCTAATTGGTGATTGTTTTGTGGAAGGCCCTTAAATAATGTGTATATAATTGTATGTTAAAAGAGGCAATGTTTGTTTCCCTGTGATGTCCCATAATGATAGGCCTCTCTGGAATGATCTCTGAGACCTGTTGTTAGAGAAGGGAAGTTACCTGTTACACTAATTTTTTCGTTGGTGAGTGACTGTGCAGAGATCCTTTTTCATTATTTCTTACTTGTTTCTCTTTAAAAATCTATATAATCTTACATAAAAATCTACATAATTTTATATTTTTAAATCCTCAGCAAGTAGGAGTTCCTGTTTAGGATGTCTTATCAAAAAAGGTATTGGTCTAGAGAGCTATTCTCAGCGATTTATTATTCTATAATAGTTCTCTGTAGTAATTTCAAGAACAGTAATTAACCCTTTATCACATAATGATGCTGTTGGTATTTTACTTTCAAATAATAGAAAGAATGGTTTTAAATATTGCTTAATAATTATATAGATGGTTGACATTGTGGGTTGCCTTTTGAGGGATGGAGAAAAAGGGTTTACTGGTAAGTTGGGAGGAGAGAGGAATGTTATCCCTAAACTAAAGAACTAGTTAAAGACTTTATTTACTCTTTTGGCACAGTAATACTAATAGTTAATAACATTTGAAAACTAAGGGGCAATCATTCCTTTTTTTTTTTGAAATTATACTCCAATTAATTGGGTGTTTTTGAAATCTTGGTGACTTTCAGAAACTCACAGAAGAGAAATATCAAGTGGAACAGTGTGTAGATGAGGCATCTATTATAATTCGGAATACAAAAGAACCCACGCTAACTTTGAAGGTGATACTTACTTCCCCTCTAATTAGGGACGAATTGGAGAAGAAGGATGGAGGTACACGTGTATATATATGTTTTTGTTTTGTTCATATAAGATCTCTCTTGAATGCTATGTTAAGTATGCTTTATGGACTTAAGAAGTAACCGTCTTTATGTGTTTTATGCTACTCATAGTATTTTAAACAGCTTTGTTTCTACATAATCACTTTATTTTGCAAAAATACATACATTCAAGATATAAAATATATTAATTCAAAAACCTATGCTTATCATTTAGTCTTAAGTCTGCTTTCATTTTTATACTATTTTGGTGTTCTGTTTTACTTTTTCTAGTATTGCATTGTTATTGGTATCAGGCAATCTATTCTGTGTAGTTTGGCTGTTAGGTCTGGTTCTAGGATTAAATGTGGTCCAAAACAGTATTGTTTTCAAATATACTCACTTGTTTCAAATTACTCATTTGCACATTGCTCTTGACTTCTAATAACTATATAACCTTGTAAGATTTATGTTTTACCTAATTGCCCATGTGTAAATGTATTTTATAATATAAGAGAGATAAATTGAAGGATTTATTTTTTTTTTTTAGTAAATAATCTTTAGTAAATTTTTTTCTAGGTTTGTGATCCTGTTAACATTCTGAATATGATATATGTGGGAATCGTGCTTTAAACTAACTTTCTTCTGAAGTTAAAAAGAATTCCTGTATGGCAATGTCATCCTTATAAAAGTAGAGTGAGAAATCTATTCAGTTTTGAGAAGTAATGATGGAGCTGGGCTTCTTTTCCTGTTGTTTTTATCCTGTCAAGTTAGCTTGTTTCTGCCTCTCAGTTCTGTCCCTACAAACTTGTCATGTGATATTTCTCCTGTGTCAGACCTTTGACCAACTGGCACCTCTCTGTCATGACAGTTTAGCGGCAGTGCAGCCTATCTGGTCCAGTGGGGACTCGAGGACTCCCTGTTGCTGTTTTTTTCATCACTAGATGTTCAACAAGTCCCATTGCTTACTCCCTTACCTGAAATACCAGTGCAGTAAGAAATATTGGTCAGTTTCTTAATTTATTTCAAGTTGATGATAAAGGTAGAAAAATACACATTTACCACTGACGTTAGAACTTCGAGTTTTGGCAGACATGACTCATAGGATCTCTTTAAGTAAAAGTGATAGACTCCTTTTAAAAAAAGTTTTTTGGGGTAACTAAAATCAGCTATACCATATCCAGCAGATATAAAGTAGACAAATTTATGAGTCATATTTTAAAATTAAAGTGCATTCAATCCATAATTGGGTTTATGCCTATACTTTTCTTTTTCTGTATTTAGTATCTCTAACACCTCTGCAGAACCAATGTTAAATGGCTTAATTTTTTTAACAGCTTTACAGTTCACCATTAACTGTAGAACTATAAAATGATTTCTGAAGTATCAAGATAATTCTGTTAATTCTGGTAAGCTGTGTTCTACTTGACCCTCTAGTGTAAAATCAACCATTTCTAAGTATAGTTATAATCATAGATATTATTAAAAGATTATTTGAATGTAGAGAGATGAGAAAAAGACTGAAGTTGCCAAAGACTAGGTTAATTATATGTTTGCTTGTAGCTGTAGGCATCTCTTCCATTACTTCTTTGCAAGTATTAACAGAATATCAGGCGTCTTTTTTTCCTGTGGCTTTGTGTACTTAGGTGGGATTTTGTCATAGTTTTCGGTGATACCCTTAAGCTTAGTGTGTTGCCTTTATAATTTTAATTTCTGTTCAGAGAAGCTGAAAACTGATTCTTAGTGTATTGCACCCTTACTAGAAGACTGGTTTTTATAGAATGGAATTTGTAGTCAAGTAGGAGAGTCATAGTCTCTGTTCAAGGTGTTTGGGTTACTTAAGGATCTGAAGACCTCTTTATGAGCTGAATCTCATCAGCTGATGTTAACATGATAGTGTGGGATCAAGTAAGGGAAAGAATCAACTTGGATCTAATATTTTACATGGTACTTCCTCTCCTTTTGAGTGGCAGAAAGAGTTGCTTTGCTATTGTCCTTAACCTCCCAGCCCTGTTGACTCACTTGTTATCTTTTATAATTTGCTCCTTTTGTCTAAACTGGGCTTTGTCAAAGACAGTTTTTTTTTTTTTGTGAGGAGATCAGCCCTGAGCTAACATCTGCCAATCCTCCTCTTTTTTTTTTTGCCAAGGAAGACTGGCCCTGGGCTAACATCCGTGCCCATCTTCCTCTACTTTATATGGGACGCCGCCACAGCATGGCTTGCCAAGCAGTGTGTTGGTGCGCGCCCGGGATCCAAACCGGCGAACCCCGGGCTGCCACAGCGGCGCGCGCGCACTTAACTGCTTGTGCCACCCGGCCGGCCCCTCCAAGACAGCTTTTTGATCTGCGCCAGCAGTTTTGTGTATTCCTGGGCAAATCTGAGCATCCAGCGTAACTGAGCATTTGAGACCTGGGCTGTACAATTCTCCAGGACTTGTGTCCTCACTCTAGACAGCTCTTCCCCCCTTAAAGCAGTTCTTTTCAGCTGCATGGGGTGAAAGCACAAGATCATTTGGGTTCCAGGAATTTCTAAAACTGAGACATCCCTTTTTAGAAACCTCCACTTATTTTCTTTCTCAAAGTTTAAAAGAATATGCATCGTAACTTTTTTCGAGGAAACATTTTCCTGTAGAATCTCAGCTTCTTCTCTCCCCACAAAACAGACTGTTCACAATGCATATACACCTCACATCTTTCTCTTCCCACTCTTCACTTGCCATATATTTGGGTAGAATCTGAAAAAGGGAAAAAGTGTGATTGAGAGCAGGCAGAACCAGAGAACTGGGGCAGGTGAGAGCCTCAGACTTCTCTCTCGGGGCTGTCTCTGCATAAGTGGATCTGTCCAACTAGTTGTTTCAAGTCACTGTTTACATTTTCAATGGCCAGAGTACATGCTAAATCTCTCTAGCATTGTTTACTATTTCACAGGTGAGATTCCTCCTGTGCTGTCAGTCTTCTTTGCATATTCTAACCCTTCACTTGAAGGCCCTGGAGAATAACCATTCCCCATTACTGCCTGCTTCCTGCTAAAGAAGACATAGGAGAAAAACCAGAGACCTTGGTGCCTGGCAGCCAAGTGCTTGATTCTTCACCCCATTAGTTACTATTGCTGTGTGACCTTGGACAGGTTTCTTCATATTTAAAATATGAATAATAAATACCTTAGAAGTTTGTTTGAGGTTAAATGAGAGAATTTGTATAATATGACCTGTACAATACCCAGCACAAAGTAGTTGCTCAGTAAGTAATGGTAGTTACTCGGCTTACTAAAAAGATTCACAGTGCAAACTCATCTATTCAAACTGCCTTAAGTTCACAGTGAGGTCATGATAGGTCCAAAGAACTGAACCTAAACACAGTTAAACTCTTCAACACCCATTGAAGTGTCCTATTGGAATCAGTATACTGTATTTGCTGCAGTGCTACTAATGAGCTGGTTTATTAAATAGCTTATGATTCATTGAGGGCAGTTGTCTCTTTTTCTTTACCCTTTTCCTTTATCCTTAACACCTGGAATGGTACCTAATACATAATAGGCAGTCAAAAAAAAAAGTCTGTTAGATAAATTTTCATAGCCAGCATATTGTCTGATTAAATAGGACAGGCATTAACCATGGGCATCTCAGAATTCAAGCAATATATATTGAAGATTGAGCTTTGTTAGGGTATTTTATAACTTACCATGTTTAAGTACTTTCTCATATATGATTTATTTTAATCCTCACAGCAGCCCTATGAGGTAGATAATTTCTGTTTTATAAATGAGGGAAGTCCCACATTTTACCCAGCTCCTCTAAGTCCACTGTGCTGTCCATCTCCCATTACTGTCTAGGATGAGTGTAGGAGCATTTTAGCTGATTTAGTTGTTCTGAGCAGCACATCCTCTCAGCTTCTTTTGGTGCTTATTATTTTAAACCAGAAGTATATTTGCTATGAGGGTAATAAATCAGCTAATTATTATATTTACAATGCAATTTAAAACCAGGTGGATAGGGAAACTACAGAGACTCTTGAGGCTAAGACAAACCTCTGTCCTCAGTATTGGGGTAGATTTTCAGGGGTTCACAGAGAAGTTGCCCAAGAGTCCCTCTACACGTATTGGTGCCAGTGTGAATTTCTAATGCATCTTGGCAGAAGTTCACTAATGTGAGTCCTGCTAGGTGGAACGCATTAGATTCTCACAGTCCAGAGATCACAGCTGGGATTATAATGATGCTGCAGGCTTTATTTTCCTGCCTTTCCCACTGGCTAGACCTGCACTATTTGGTGCAAACCTTTAGCCATTATCTTTTCAGGGGCTGACTGCCTACTGAAGCATTGAAAAGGAGTCATACTGAGTGACATTTCTACTGTAAATGAGGAGACTAGTGCTCTCTCTGTTCTACCTGAGTGCTGCATTTACCTGTTAACATTATTGTGGCCTGATGTTTTGCATGGACAGTGGCTTGAAGCATAATGTCTGCTCTCCACAAAGCCTCAAGGAATTGAGAGAAGGGGCTGCCAGGATATCTTCAGGCTAGCTAGAAAAGTCTGTCAGCATGAACTCAGTAGCTCAGCTATACAGACTGTCAAGGCCTTCGTGATAACCCAGCTCAATTATTTTACCTTTGAAGAGCCCGGGTTCAAGCCATATAACTCCTATTTAACACAGTCATGTTCTGGCTTTTCCTTGCCCCACCTGCAGACAGGTGTTTTTGTTAACCAGCAGAGAGTTAGCTTGCATGTAAGGGATTGAGAGAAACTGACCAACATTTCCTGCACTGCGGTGTGTTTCTGGTCACTGATCTAACCTCTAACCAAATAAACAAAGTTAGGCATAAGAGATTTCTTTTCCAGTGCTTCCATTGTTCAGAATGTTTTATGTACCTTCATGCCCTGATGCCACATTACTGAGCAATAAATTTTTAAAAGCTGCTTTTCTTTGCTTTTGACATTTTTGTCACTCCCCAAGCCCATGCCCCATGCTATTTCTTATCTGTGTTACTGCTCACTGTAGGAAAAAATGAAATGGCTCACAGTTCCATTGTTTTTTATTTAAAGACTCCAAGATACCTTTTTGTCAGAAAAGCTTTGCTTCCCACAAAATTGAAACACCTGCATTCAAGTTCATACAGAAATATTAAACTTGAGGTTCTGCTATGAGAAGTAGCAGTGTTTTATCAGCAGCAGTTCTGTGATTGCCACATTATGTAGTTTATTTTTCTTAAAGAATAGAAATATATAAAACTGTATATTATTAATATATAAAGGAAACAGGCAAGCAGGGCTTACAAGTAGCACTGTAGTGCCATATGAATTTACATTGCTTTAAAATAAGAAACTTTGGAGTAGATAAAATGAGATGAATTATTACATCTCCTTTGCTGTTTCCCACCTCACGAATATTGAAAACATTTTGGATCTTTTGACTTTTTGACTATCAGAGCATGAAGAAACATGGCCATTCTGATGGTGATGTAAAAGGGAACCCGGTGCAAGTCTTCTGTTCACTGCCTGTCCCTTTCATCCCCTTCTAGTAGAAACTACTGCCTCCAAATGTTGACTGTCTGTAGCAAGCTGATGCCTCTATTGTTTTTTTACTAAGAGTTTGTTGTTATAATCTGACTTTGGGGATGAAAGAATTTATCTAAATATTTTTGCCATTGTTCCCGTTTAAAAATAACTGTGTCACAGTGAGCGTAAGATATTATTTACAAGCTTTGACCACTGGACGAGAGTACCAGAAAGTTCAAAAAGAGTTTTGGTTTGCCTTGTCTTTTCCTATCCACATTTCCTCTGCTTCACTCCTCTCTTCCATTGCCCCCGTCTTCCTGACACTTCTACGTGGTAAGACGATAGAATAAAACGTAGCTCGCCTTTACTCTTAAAGATTGAGTCTTAAAAAATAAGTACTGTCCATAACTTTTCTCGGGATTACATTACTTAGCAGTCAGTCAACCTTTGTCATGTCTAACTTTTAAGAGATTCTAAGCATTCATTTACAGCAGTTTGTTTTATCTGATACATGAGCTTTACACAGATGCTTGTATTGACCACAGTTAAACATTTTGATGTAAACTATTCAAATGAGTTAGTTGTACGTTTTATGTCATTACAAAGACAGAATTAAGCAAGTCCAGGAGCTAGATCACCTATGAAGTGAATACCCATAGTATATTTGTTCATGTTTATAAATAAATTCACATCAGTAATTCTTTTTAAGGCTTCCTGTTTTATGAGTAAAAGAGGATAATGAACTGAGACCCTGTGTTGTGAATTTGTTGGCAGAGGTTAATGTGTAATGATGCAAATATCTGCTGTAGAGCTCACCTGGTCAGAAAATAAGTGCGTAGCACTTCAGCCTTTAGAGTGTTGCAGCCAATAAAAAGAACCACAGTTCTTTCTCTAATAGATTTGTTTTCTGTTGGGCATTATGCCTTCAGTTTTAGTTAATGGCAATCTATCAATTAGAATATACAGTAAATTTGCCATAATAGAATCTTGTAATAACTGAGGAAACCAAAAAGTATCAGTGATCTTGTTTCCCATTTAAAAGTATTTACAGGGGCCGGCCCCATGGCTTAGCAGTTAAGTGCTCGCGCTCCGCTACTGGCGGGCCCGGGTTCAGATTCCAGGCGCGTACCTACGCACTGCTTCTCCGGCCATGCTGAGGCCGCGTCCCACATAGAGCAACTAGAAGGATGTGCAACTATGACATACAACTGTCTACTGGGGCTTTGGGGAAAACAAAGTAGGAGGATTGGCAATAGATGTTAGCTCAGAACCGGTCTTCCTCAGCAAAAAGAGGAGGATTAGCATGGATGTTAGCTCAGGGCTGATCTTCCTCACACACACACACAAAAAAAGTGTTTACACTGTATCAATTCGCCCACACAAACATACACCTAAGTCTGTGACTGTCATGATTATACTAGGAAAAAGTGTTGGTGGACTCGCCTACATCTAAAAGAGTTCTTAAAAGAGAATGGTGAATCTGACTTAATTAAATCAAACAAAGAATTATTCCCCAAGAAACATTTGTTATTCCCCAAGAAACATTTGTATGTTATATGTATTTAAATAATGCACCAAGTCTTCAAAAAGTTTAAAAACCCACTTCCTAGTAGCCTAGAGGAAATACAGTTGGCTGTCTAAACTTGGATTTAGTATCATGTGACATATTAAATATGAATATTTGTCATTAATCACATATTTGAATTCTTAATTTTGCTGATTTGGACCATCTAATCTAACTTTAAAATGTTAAAGCAAGTTAAATAGCTGTAATTAGATAGTATTCTTTGCTGCCCTTTTAAAAAAAGGTATATAAAACTTGAAATGTATTTCAAATTTGTAGTTTTAATAATTTTGGTTTAGAAAAGAAATAATGAGAGATCTCCAAGGTGATACTTCAGGAGTTCACATCAGTCAGGTAGTTTCTGTTAATGAGTCTATTTTGTTGTAAAAAAATAAAATTGCCATACTCACTATATTCCTAGTATATCTCAAATTGATTACATAAAAGAGCTCCAATTTTCCTTAAGAATTGATTAGTGACTAAAATCTCTTCTGTAAAGAAAAGTTGTTATTGCTCTTGGTCTTAGATTTCCACTCTTTGCACCCCACCTAACGGAGAAGTGCTACGTACCTATTTTGTGCCCTGTGATGTTATATACATGCTTAATAAGATCCCAGATTATGTGTAGCAGTGGTTATTGATCTGTTTACTGAATGAATGCCTTTGTGCTCCTGTTGTACTTGGGCACAGAACAGTTCTGATGACTACTTAAGTAATCAAAGTGCACGTAATTAAAAAAAGCAGCAAAGCCAAATGATGCCGTCTTCTGGGAGTCTTATTAGTTCACTCAGATGCAGCTCTTTTTATTTTTATTGTTTGCTTAATTTGACAGAAACCCCTTGGTCAAATTGTATCTGTCTCTCTTTATCCCATTTTCCCATTAGAAAAGGTTGCGATGAAAGATCCTCCGGACTTATTGGACAGGCAGAAATGCCTGAACGCCTTGGCGTCTCTTCGACATGCCAAGTGGTTTCAGGTTGGCTCTTCATTATTATCTTACTGTTACTGTAGCCTTGTGCAGGTTTCATTTGGAATACCTGCCACTTAATGGTTTCTGTGTAATGTATAAAATGGGGGTACTCTCTACCTTATAGGGGAATTATAGGAGTAAATGAGTTAATTTAGGTAAATTTAGTATAGCTTCTACTATAGTTAATGATGTTTAATTATCATATAATCGTTTTTGGCTTAGTACTCTGAATTTCAAACGATGACTTATAAAATACAAACATGGGTGAGAAAAGCTAAAAGTTAAGATAGTTGCCAAAATGGAGTTGCCATGAGACTATAAAAACAATTTTACTAATAGGGTTCCTTTAATTTAAAATCTGTCTTTCTAAACCACAGTTTTACTACTTTTAATAACTTGATTTTTTGGTTTGCCTGACAACTGACAAATGACTGGCTAATTAGTATTCACTTGAAAGAACTATCCATGATCAGTGTGCTTAAGATGAAGAATGGATTTCAACAGGGATTTGGGAATCATTTTGTTTGTTTTAGGCAAGGGCAAATGGATTAAAATCCTGTGTAATTGTCCTCCGCATCCTGCGTGATTTGTGCAACAGAGTCCCCACATGGGCACCATTAAAAGGATGGGTAAGTACTTAAATATGGTTAAAAGCAAATTCTGAAGCTATAGTCAGAGGAAATCCTATAGAAATTACATGTTACTGTAAAATGGCTATATTCTGAGTCAGCTAGGTTATGTATTATATATTTTTGTTCTGGGAAAAAAAAAGCATCTTTTTCTATGAATTCTTTTTTGTGCATATAACTTGTCTCCTCTACCTCATCATATTCATGTTACAGAGCCTGAGATATTTTTTCTGACAAAAAGGTTCTATACCTGTTAGAAGTGAATGTCTTCCTGCACTTTCCTCTGCACTTATGGTTGAGCACTGTTCACCTCCTGCCTATGAAAGCCTCCTTGACTGGCACATTCTCTTTCAGTGCTACTTCCATTTAAAATAAAAATTACCTGGTATGCCAATATAAGGCATAGACTCTTTTTCTTTCTCTTTGAGTGTAGACAGTTAAAAATTAGTTCATATTAGTAATTAAAGTTAGGTGAACAATTATGTCCGATTATGGGCATAATTTATAATATATATGGCAGAACTTACTTAATTTGGAAATTATTATGCCTGACCTAATCAAGACCACGATTAAGAACATTATAAAACAAAGCCGTAGAGGGTCATTTTAAATTAATCTAGCAATTATTACTTTGATATAGAATCATGAGTTTTTAGTTTATTAAATATGGAGATTTAGTCCTTCGTTTATTTTAATTGTAGTGCTTGGGGCAGGCTGTCTGAAATGAAGTCTTATTGTGGTTTGAGTACTTCCTAGCTTAAGTGGGTGATAGGTGGGCTGGGTTTGAACGTTTATTCATTATTAGCTATTACTAACTTATATGAAGGCTTGTTAAATCTTTGTTAAACCAATTAGATGACCACAGTTTCTTAACTGATCCTTTCAGGGTAACCGAAAATAAAATTTTTGTAACAAAATGTCTCCTAAATATATCTTCTCAAAAATGGTTGATTTAAAAACTTTGGCTGGGATAAAAGTTGATAATCAAGAGGGAAAAGTTAATTGGCCTTAAATGTTAAATTGACTTTTACCTTTTTGGCCTCCATTGTAGATAGAAATGTCAGGTCACATTTAACTGGAATCCTTTTAACACTTGGTGCATGTACTAATTTGTAATTTAATATCTTCTAGCCACTAGAGCTTATATGTGAAAAGTCTATAGGTACTTGTAATAGACCTTTGGGCGCTGGGGAGGCCTTGAGACGAGTAATGGAGTGTTTGGCATCTGGAATACTACTTCCTGGTAAGGGTTTCAAACTCTGCAGGCAGAAGAATCAGAAATATCTCATTTGAGTTTATTTTTCTAAACATGTATTACATTTGTCCTCTGCATGGGAAAATGATGCATAGAAGTTGTTTTGCTTGGAATTTTAGCAACTAGAATGTTTTGGATGTTGGAAAAGTGCTATAGAACTCTTTCAATAATTGTAAATTATGTTTTATATATACTAACATAAAAGGTACTAATAAGATATTGTGTCTGCTATGGATTTGCTTTGCCTACAGCTCTGAGTTTGAAAATGCAAATGTTTGGTCAAAATGTATAAAGTTCATTCTGTTTGTAGTCGGTTGTTTAATTTGGAAAAATTAAATTGGATCTTATTTTCCATATGTAATTCATATGTAATTTAAAGATTTGGGATAATTTATCATGCTGTTTTGAAATTCTCAGAGTAAGACCCAATTTTGACCTTAGATATACAAGTGACTTCCAGTAAAATGAGGACATTAAATGCTAACATATAGAAAATGAGAGTGTCCTTTTTACGCCATTTAATTGAGCAGAGTTTTAATGTAGTTCCTCAGTTTTTTTTTTTCTTTTTCTCTCCGTTCTTTTCTCTCTCTCTCTTTTGTGTTCGTTTACTGTATTCTAAACTCAGTTCTAAATGGTACTTGTGTTTTTCTTTTGCCTTTGCCAAAGGGGGTCCTGGTCTTCATGATCCTTGTGAGCGAGACCCTACAGATGCTCTGAGCTATATGACCATCCAGCAAAAGGAAGATATTACCCACAGTGCACAGGTAGAAGATGGGCTTATCACTGTGATCTTGTAGAGGAATATCATAGCTTTATTTTCTGAATTGTTCTAGTTAAACACTTTTCTCTTGCCTGTTCTTAGGGACTTTTGCCATGATAATTTAGCATTTAATGGATGTCTTTTTAGCTAAATGTTCTAAGGGCTTTATGAATGGCTGTTGAAATTTAAATAAAGGTAATCTTTTGTTCTTTAGCATGCACTCAGACTGTCAGCCTTTGGCCAGATTTATAAAGTGCTAGAGATGGACCCCCTTCCATCTAGTAAGCCTTTTCAGAAATATTCGTGGTCAGTTACTGATAAAGAAGGTGAGTGTAAAAGTTTTTTTATTGGGGTTGGACGTGGTCAGTGGTGGACATGGTCATGGGATGCATCTCTTGTTAGAGCTGAGGGAACTTAATAATTGTTTTTAAATCTGATGTTAACTAGAGTTATTGTGGTGATCATTTCACAATATATACAAATATTGAATCATTGTGTTGTACATCTGAAATTAGTATAATGTTGTATGTCAGTTATACTTCAATTAAAAAAATTAGTTTTATTTAAGCCATGTATAAGAAGGTTTATTGCTTTTCTTCCTGACTTTCTTCTCTTATATCCCATCAATGACATCAGCTTGCTATCATTTATTCTTATTAGTGATGAACTCATTTGGCTATGTTGGCCCACATTCTATTACTGCGTAGACTTAGGGACCACACTTTGAGAATCCCGGGTCTAAGGAGACGAGATAAGCCATAAGCTAGGAGGAGACGTTATCACTGTCACTGATCAGTTTGATCTCTGTCATGCTTGGAAGTGTTCACGTAATCAAAAAAGAGAAAACAAAAATCTAGAGGAGAAAAGTATGTTGGAAAATTCAGGAGTATCTTCCATTTGTGCTTGTCTCTCTGAACTCAGGTTTGAGTTTCCCCAGAAAGAGTACAGGCTTTGGGGTCAGTATGGCCTGGGTTCCAGTCAGAGTCCCACTCCTTACTAGCTTTAGGCCTTGAGCAATTAGTTCATCTTCCTCTGTAGGGATATCACCCCCACTTCATTGGCTGTTGTCAGATTAAAATGCCTGACTCAGTGTCTGGAATACAGCAGATACTTAAACGTGACTCCACTTACTCTGCTTATTATGCCACAAAAAAACCATTTCTTTTCCCCTTCATCTCCTGTTATACTAGAAGGTGGATGTTTAACACCAGTTGTTCTTCACCTGGGACCCAACCTACCTCTCAACAATTGATATTATGCTAATAATTTTTATATGACAAACATAATGCAATGGCCTAATCTGTTTATTCAGACAACAGAATTCCAGTGGGTCTAAAGACTTTTCAGGGAGTCCACAAGATCAAAACTGTTTCATAATAATACTAAGGCATTTTTTTTTTTTTTGCCTTTTCCACTCTTTCTTTCATGAGTATACAGTTTTCCAGAGGCTACATATGACATATGATGACATCATCACTCTGATGGCTAATGGAATGGTTTTTTATATTTTCATATGGAAATTTTTTGTTTTAATTTCTAATATGCTAAATATTGATAGGTATTAGCCACAAAACTAAGCTTTGGGTGCTCAGTAATTTTTTAAGAGGGTAAAGTGGTCCTGAGACTAAAGTTTGAGAATCACTGCCTTATACTGTAAACTCTTCAGGGGTAAGGAATCCTCCAGATCCTACCATATCACTATTACAAACCGATGCTCAATGAATAGTTGTGGAATGAAAGCCATTTTCTTCAAGAGGGTGCTCACATGGCAGCTAAGAATTGTTGAAAGGGATTCACATAGCTGTGTGACATTAAGCACTGTAAATTGAATGATTGAATAAAAATTTGAAATATACATAGGAGTTCTTATGATTAGTAATGGAAAATTTTATTTCGATCACTGAATTCATATTAGCTCTTGGTTTTGTATTTTTTTCTTTCACTAGATGGTAAAAGTATGTCTACTGTTATGTGACTTAGATTTCTTTTTCTTAGCTTTAAAGGTTTTTCTCATGGGAACTGCTGGTCTGTCAGTTTATAGCTTAAAATAGAACCAGACTGTCGGTGTTTCCATTCGAGCCCTATCAGTTACTAGCTGCGTGACCTGGGCAAGTCACTTAGCCATTCTGTGCCTTGGTTATAAGATGAGGGAACCAAGGCCATTGCCTCCAGGCCCTTACTACATTCTCTCTCATACTTTCATTTTTTTAGCACCTAGCTTCATGACATTGGCATTTAGACTTTATTATTGTAATTCTTGGTGATTTCAATATGCATTCAGATGATTTTTTTCCTTCAAAACTCTGACATCTTAATCCCATGACTCCTTCTCCCACAAATATTTTGTCTTTTCCCTTACCTCAGTTACCCATTCTGTGGACATACCCTAGATCTTGTCTTCAATAACTGTACCTACGTACCTTCTCTGTAATCTCATTTTCAAGAACCCCACTTTCTAATTGCTTCTTGTCATCATTCTGTCTCGTACCCCTACTCCAATTCTTGAACCTCACCATTGATTTTATTAACTTTTCATGGTCGCTCACCTTCCTCGTGTTCTCACTTTGTCCCTTCTCTGCTTATATTCCCTGGTCCATCTTATGATCACTCCCTAGCATATACCGTCACTTCCCTGATCCTCTCTTTCTGGCAAAATTCTAACTCTGGTTGAAATCCAGCTCTGTGCCTATGCCAGGTTGTTGAACATCGTTGGAGAAAAAATACACAGTCATCTTGACTGTTTTCCCTGTAAGTCTCAGACATTAACCTTAAGTAGACTGTTTGTGTTGTCTGGCGATCCTCCTATAAGTTCTAGAGTTCTCTAATTTTCCTAGATAACTGTTTCACATCTTCTCTCATTTCATATTTCCTCTTCCAACCCCTCACTCTCTCACCTGATGACATATTTGCTCAAAGTACTCATGCACTTTGCTTTCCCTCCCTTGCCTATGGATAAACTGTCTGGCCTCCTAAGACCAACCTTTCTATTTTGACATCCCTTTTTGCCTACGAATGGACATTATTCTAGCAATTCTCTCTTTTCTCACCAGCATCGTTACTCCCTTTCTATTGAGTCATTCTCATCAGCATAAAAACCTGCTGTGGGCCGGCCCTGTGGCTTAGCGGCTAGGTGCGCACGCTCTGCTGCTGGCGACCTGGGTTCGGACCCCGGGCGCGCACTGACGCACCGCTTCTCGGCTGCGCTGGGGCCGCCTCCCACGTGCAGCAACTAGAAGGATGTGCAGCTATGACATACAACTATCTACTGGGGCTTTGGGGGCGGGGGGAACCTGCTGTAATATCTCCCATTTGAAAGACAAAACCAAACTCCCCCTTGATTCTACAGCTCTCCCAACACAGTCCCATATCTCTGCTCCCCTTTATAGCAGTACTTTTGGAAAGAGTGACCTATTCTTTCTTTCTCCTTTTCTTCACTTTCTTTTAAACTTATTCCATCAGGCTTTCTTCCTCACCTCTCTACCAGTCTCTCTTATGACCTCCACGTTACTACACTCAACAGTTAGTCTTCAGTCCTCATCTTAGCCAACTTTTCAGCAACATTTGACACAGATGAACACTTTTTCTTTCATGTTTATTTTGTTATGAGATACAACACATCTATAGAAAAGTATAAAAAATGTGCTATTTAAAAAATTCCACATAAACACCACCCTGGTTAAGAAACAGAACATTACCAGCTTCTTAGAAGCCATCTATTTATCCCTCCATATCACCTCCCTGCCCCGTGAGCTGCCATTCCTGACTTTTTGATAATCATCAACTTGATTTTCTTTATAGCTTTCCCACCTGTGTATGCTTTCCTAAACAATTTAATTTGGTATTGCCTAGAACTTTATAGAAAGGGAATTGTGCTGAGTTCAGTCTTTTGTGACTGGCTTCTTTCTGTCCAGGATTGTTTGGGATACATTCATGTTGCTGTGTATAGCTGTAGTTTGTTCATTTTAATAGTTATATAGTATCCATTGTGAATTTACTACAACTTATTCATTCTACTTTTGAAGGACATTTGAGTTCATTTTTTTTGGCAACCACCCAGTATGTTGCTATGAGCGTTCTTTTTTTTGTGTGTGTGTGAGGAAGATTCGCCCTGAGCTAACATCTGTCCCCATCTTCCTCTATTTTGCATATGGGATGCTGCCACAGCATGGCTTGATGAGCAGTGCGTAAGTCTGCGCCTGGGACGTGAACCTGTGAACCCTGGGCTGCTAAAGTGGAGCGGGCAAACCCAACCGCTATGCCACCGGGCAGGACCCGCTATGAGCATTCTTATACATGGCTCCTGGGGTATATGTCCAGAAGTTACTGTAAGCTAGTATATGATCTAGTAAATGGTTCTGTATTCCAGTTTTCACTCACACCAGCAGTGTATGAAAGTTCCTATTGCACTGTATCCTCAACGACTTTGGGTATTGTCACATACTTTTTCTGACATGGAATACTACTTTTCATTTGACTTCTAGGTCATTACTTTTTCTTGGTTCTTCTACCCCCACTGCCCTCTCTTCACCTGTCTTTGTTTGTTCTTCCCCATCCTCCTGACTTCTGAATATTAAAGTATCTCAGGGCGCAGTCCTCAGACCATTTCTCTTTATTTATACCGACTCTTTAGGAAATCTTACCTAGTTTCTTGTCTTGAAATACCTTCTGTTTACAGAAGATTCCCAAATTCATATCTCCATTCCATAGACCTAGATGTCCAGATGCCTCCTCAGTGTCTCCACATCGATGTCTAACAGATATCTCAGACTTAAAACATCTAAAATCCAAGTTCCTGTCCTTACTCTACCTCTAATCTGCTCTTTCCATAGTTATCCCATCCTAGTCATTGTAAACTCTGTCCGTCTATGTGCTCAGGCTAAAAACCCTCACCCTTGAATCCTTTCTTTCTTTCACCCATATCCAAACCTTCAGCAAATACTGTCTGTCTTACTTTCAAAATATGTCCAGAAATTAGCTATTTCTTTCACTTCTACCATCCTGGCCTAAGCTGCCATCATCTCTCACTTGGATTATTACAATAACTTCCCTATTTGGTCTTCCTACTTCTGTCCTTTCCCCTGTTGTCTGTTCTCAACAAAGCAGCAGTTCTTTTTTTTTTCCTTAACTTTTTATTTTAAAATAATTATAGATTACCAGGAACTTGCAAAGATAGTACAGAGAGGTTCCATGTACCCTTCACCCAGTTTCTCGTAATGGTTATGTCTTATGTAACTATAATACAATATCAAAACCAAGAAACTGACATTGATACAACGTGTGTATATGTTTTATGCCATTTTATCACATGTGTAGATTTGTGTAACCA